TAGAGGGCCACCTGCATCATGAAGGACCCCACTCACCCAGCACACACACTTTTTGCCCCGCTCCCCTCAGGAAGGAGGTTGAGGAGCATTAAGTGTAGAACCACTAGACTGAGGAACAGCTTCTACCCTGAGGCTGTTAGACTCATGAATCTCTAACCAGAAGAATCACTGTGATGACACTTTAATTGGAGATGTGACATCCATGCTGCTGATCTCATGCTGCTGATCTCTTGCTTTTAAGCTGCTGCATTAATATCCATCTACTCATAAGACTCATGTTCAGGCTGCTGTTTAATAAACTATTATTTGACATTATTAGTGTTTAGCGTGCCCTGTGATGGACATGCGACCCGTCCAGAGTGTCCCCCGCCCCTCACACAGGTACTGCTGGACATGTGCACCGGCGACCCCCGTGATCCAAAATGGAAGAAGCGGGTAAAAGATAATGGATGGATGGTGTTTAGCGTCTATCTTAGATCTTTGTCTACTGTTTCTGTTTCTACTTTATATTTTTACTGTTTGTAGGTGAACTGGGACGTTGAGTACACAGTTCTGTTCCACCTCATGTACCGCATGCGATGACAGTAGTGTTCTTGAAGCTAGCTAATTGAGCTCCAGCGATAACTAATATCTGTTTTGATCTAAACGTTCAGGCGTCGTGTTTTCTTGTCGTCGTCCCTCGCTGCATCGCGGTTCACTTTTTGCAGCTTCACTGTATCACAGGATACTTCAACCAGGTGTTTTAGGTTGTGTGTACTTGTACATGCTGTGCAGTACTGTACATTCATCTCATCATCACCTTCATCGCCAACGTGTTTAAGAGCTCATCAAGTGAGTAGGAAAGGTTGACAAAGCCTTAAATATATTATAAGTAATTAAATAAATGTAAAGCCACTACTTCATGGATTTTCACTTACTGCCGGGGGGTGTGGAACGTAACCCCCGCGATCTGTGAGGGACCATTCAGTCAGTAAATTAGGTGGAGCGGTGAACTCGTTATTGTGCCCCCCTCCACTCATCCCCTCAGGCTGCAGGCTACAGGAGCCTGTAGCTGCCAAAATAGTCTTGTGATAACTAAAAAAAAGAACTCAAAAATAACTTTGTGATTTTCTGTGCATTTTTCTGCACGGCCTGTACGCCTCATCAGTACTTTGACAACAACAGTGTGGCCCACCTCCGTCAGCCAAGCTGAGCTCTGTGACTGAGGAGCAGCTCACCTTTAAAATTATCTCTCACAGCGTGGACGTCTCTGTGGTTCATCTTCCTGTTGCAGAGGGCGCTGCCCTCCAGGTAGGCCGAGGCCGTGCCTTTCTTGGACGGGTGTGGGTCACATAGCTTGGCGTTGACCTTGTAGAGCTCCAGGGCTTTGACCGCCGCCGCGTTGTTGTCCATGCGGCTGAAGCCCAGCGACGAGGCGCACCATGAGTTGGAGCAGGACTCGGTGCCGCAGCCCTCCGTCAGCTGGTGGTAGTAGCGCTCTATGAGATGCTTGGCAGCTGCTCGCTTCCTGCGTTCAGAGGGAGGAGTCACGTTACCAACACACGCTCAGCCATCCTCACCCTGCCTGCAAACCTGATGTGCTGGACGACTCTCAGCTGTATTGTACTAGCTTTATTAACTACATTACCTTTATTAACTACATTACCTTTATTAACTACATTACATTTATTTACTACATTACCTTTATTAACTACATTACCTTTATTAACTACATTACCTTTATTAACTACATTAC